TAGGACTGACAGCTCGTTCGAGCTGTTGCCTGGCAAATATAATCAACTCATCGATTCTGGATTGTTTAGCTGTAAGCGTTTTCATGGGAGAATATTTGTGCTCTTGGCCATTCTAATTCCATCTGTTCCGCCTCTACACAGCTGAGTATCGATGCACCTCAATGTCATGTGTTCCGGCCCGTTTCCACATGTTTCCCGCCATTTAAGAGCCGAATTCGACATGTTGCTCAACCTCCGATTCCGCATGTTCCATATTGCTTTTGAATACTCCAATTCCCCTTATTCCCGGTGATCTTCTGAATGGTTCATGCTCCATTCGTACAGATGTAGATTTCATTTGCCAATGTTCCCTCTTGCATTAATAAAATATCAATTGCACATGTTCCAGATAGCTGATATATGGCAAAAGAACAACTATTTGAAACTAGGCTATCTGAAACATTTGTAAGTGAAATTTTAATGAACAATTCTACTTCCATATGTTTCAGATTGCTACGTGTAACTACTACAATCCCGATGTTCCTGCCAACTATTTGAGCACTTACAAATCATTTACTGAAATCCCAATTCCACATATTCCAAAGTGCAAATTGAATTAATTTGAATATTGTATATAAGCCCCAGCATTGAATTCGGGACTCCTAATCCAGTGCCTTGGAGCTGCTTACGAAAATTCCAATTCCACATGTTCCAGGTGGCATTTCAAACACTTTCGCAGTGCTTATAAATATTTCAAGTCGATTTACATTCTTGCTGTGGAGTAAAGTTAACTACTTAAACGAAAAAAGAACCCAATTCCACTCGTTCCAGACTGTTGGATTTCTTTAACTATTTCTATTTCATGATTCTCAATAAAATATGTTGCTTTGCTTGTTAAATGTTTACTTGTGATTTTCCATTCCGTGTGTTCCTTGCATGCAAATCTCAATTCCACACGTCTCAAACTGATTTGAATTAGATAGAAAAGGTATTACAAGTGCGCAGCTTTGGATTTCTATCCTCCTGTTGGCTGGTGTTTGATTTCTGGGCGTTCCATCAATTCGATTGCCTATTGTCGTTTCACTTGACTTCGCCGCTTTGTCCTCTGTGAGGCTGAGCATACAGCATTGATAACAAGCCAGCAGCAGTTGGTGCCATTGGGATCAGGGTGCGAAGGGCAGGAGGCAAAGGCAGGCAATTGCTGCTTCAATCCAATATCCATTTGGGGCTAAGCCCCGCTCACACAGACAATTAGCAATCGAGCATCAAATGCAAATAAGCAGCAGCAGAATAGAAAGTCAACTTTCTTCTGGGTCAACTTTCGAGGCTGGGAGGAAGGGCAATTCGTCGTCCACTTGACCAGGCCGTGACCGTGAGCCGTTTGCATTTTCATGCTAATGTTTATAATGTTTATTTGCTGACCTTATTGTCGGCATTGACATCGTTAATGATGCCTCAAGTGTCCTCCATTTAGGCTCAACGAGCATCAGCGCGAACAAATAAACCAAAAGGCAGACATATACATATTTAGCCAAGGGCCAGCGAGAGCCGAGCAGCGAGGCGCCCGGCCCGAGCAGCTGGAGCAACATTAAACCGGAAAAAGACAGCAGAAACAACAACAAAATAAATAAAAAATGCGTTAAAAATCACGCCCCCATCCACAGACAAAAACAAAAAAAAAACGAAATGCGAAACGATGCGCAACAAATTCAAATAGAAAGCAAAGATAAAAAAAAAAAAGTCAAATGTGTTCCTTGACTTGTCGCCGAGCTCTGGTCCTGCCTTTCCCTCCTCGCCCTTCGCACCATCGACACAATGACAATGACGAGGATTGTGGCACTTAATTCTCATGCAATGAACAAAATTGATGGCCTCGATGCGATACAGCTGACTCCAAAAAAAAAAAAGCTAAAGCCAAAGCTGAACCCGAAAAAAGCCAAAAATCAAAATAACAAATTAACAAATATTCAAGATTCTTTTAGATGGTTCCACATTGCCATTCGGCAAATGAGCAAAAGTAGCACCATAATGTAGTATGGAAACAAATGGAACAGAAACAGCTGACAGCTAAAGCTAAAAATATTAATTAAATAATGCGATGAAACAAATGAAACTGAAACACACATTACGTGATCTAGACTTTATGAAATATTTCCCAAATTTAAGCCAATAAGTAGTAAAAGGAACAAGTGGAATTGAAACGTTGTTTTTCACAATAAACAAAAGCTAACACAATCTCACTCGGATAGAAGCTAAGCACCAAATAGCCATGTCAAAAACACATGGAATTGGAATATATTCACATTAAAAACGAATTGTGCAATCGCATTTTTTTCAGTAATGCACTTAAAAATTAAATTGAATAGTCAGCTTATAAAGCTAAACTGTTTAGTTGCAAAGACAAATGGAATTGGCACACTGTATTGCCACATATTAAACTGCAAAATTTATGAATAGCTTATTGACTGAAATATGTTCCCATTTCCCCCAACTTCATAGCAGAACCAGGAGCTAAATATATGTTTTATTGAGAAACACTTGGAATTGGAACACTTGCAGCACCACTTAGCTATAGCCAATTAAATTTTGACAATCGTTTCGCTGCAAATAAAGACTTCAATAAATCTTCTTTCATATTTGATGCTGAAACAAATGGAATTGGCACAAGTTATCTCCTTCGACAAGAGGCAAATCGGTGAGAAGCTGTTGCATATGAAGGGCGTGTCTAAGCTGTGCTCAAACTGAAAGTTTTTTTGTGCGGAAACGAGTGGAATTGGCACACTTAAGCTAGCTCGCATTCCTTTTATCCACTCGTATTACTTCCTATTCATTTGTATTACGTTTCATCCACTGCCCGGAGAGACTCGACTTTGCAACTGAAAATAGCTTTGCCCATTTGACCTGTGGCTGGTCTGTTTGGCTTGCGTCATAAAATATAATTAGCGTTAACAAGTCGAGTTGAGCTGAGCTGCACCTGCAACAGCTGCTGCTGCTGCTGCAACAGCGTGTTGCATGCACATTGGTTGGCCATTGGCCATTTCCCCAAAGAGCGTTAGCGAGCCAGAGCGAAGCCGCTGGTGCAGCATGTGGCATGTGGCATGCGGCATGCGGCATGCGGCATGTGCCCGTGTGGCAGCTATTGCTGTTGTCGTTTATATCCTTGTTGGTCATCCTTTGTTTCTTTTGCCACAACTGCTTATAAAAGCAGCGTCGCGTCGTCGCGTTGTTGCGGCCATCTAACGGACAAATAAACCCAGTCAACAATGCGTCAATGCAGCTGCAACAGCAGCAGCGGCAACTGCCACAGTCATAACCACAGCCAGTGGATGCCACATGCAGTCCAGCTGTTGTGCAAGCGGAAAATGCTTTGAAGGACGCCGGAAATAGAGAATGTCTGCATGATTGCCTCACTCTCCCGACTGTCACATTATGCGCCACAAAAGACTCGGCCCGTGCATCGAACCAGTTCGAAACTCGAGCACAACTCCTGCTTGGAGCCGCAACATAATCAATAATTAGCGAAACAATGCAGCTAACGGGCAAATCTGTGTGTGCTGGCATCCATAACCGTTTCGATCTGCAGTCATTTGCATTGAACCGGCTCAAATGGAGTGCAGCTCACATGTGTGAGCCAAACACATATTATATTCATTGTATGGAAACTTTGCGTTGAGTGAAATTCAGAATGTGTGAACAGCGAACCGGTTCACATTGGAAAACATATTCAAATCTAATCAAGCCCTAAGAAAGAAAAAATTTAAATCAAAATCTAATTTTATAAAACATGCAATATTTGGAGACATTAGCTCCAAAGATGTATGAGATTTATTTTGAAAACTGACTTTTCATAAGGCTTTTAATCGCTATCAATAAAGCAGGAACAGTTATCGATAGTTTGAAACAAACTCGTCAAGCGCATGTTATGTGGGGACATATACAAAGAATTTCAAGTATGTAGCTTTTATAGGTCCAGAGATAGACGTTTTCATACAAACGGACAGATGGATCGACTAAGTTCAATCATGCAGATAAACAATTCAATAATATTTTCTTTGCATATGCATATGATAATTAAGTAATTATGAGAATAAAAAGATGGATATATAAGAATGTATATATACATATATTTATCTGCATACATATAAAATCCGATATTCGAGCCGGTTCGAGCCATTCACTAAAGCCCGTTCCCCATATGATATACTCGCGCTTTCACGCCAATTGAATTCCAATTGAAACCGCTAGCTCAAAGCTATGCCAATACCTGAGCGAAACGAATATGAGGAATCATTTCAATTAGGAAATCAATTACACAGCCAAAAGAAAGTCGAATTGCTGGCACAGTCCTAGAGCTAAAATCGCACACAGTATGCTGTGGGCCCAAATGAAAATCAAGTTTGACAGACGTTTGACAATGCCAAAATAAAAAATAAAAAAAAAATAAAAATAAACGAAATTCAGGAATTCGACAGAGCTGCTATGATGCAGTTGAGCCCCGGGGGGATCCCAAACAGATGGGTAGGAAGGGGACGATTCCTGCGCTACGTGGCTCGCGTGCTGTGCGTCCGTTGCCATTCACTTGTCATTTGTAGCCTCACGACTCACGTGCCCCAACTGCAATCCGCATTTCACACACAAATTAACAATTGATGGCCATTTGCCGATTGATTTGCAGTTAGCATTGCGACCGCATGCGGCGTATACGTAACGCGAGCAAATTGACGCGGCGCACACGTCAAAATATTTGGCCAACACAATGGGGAAATAGACTTGTTCGAGTCACACTCGAAATGTCACTCACGCTAAATAATTAACAAAACAGCAAATATTTTTTTTTTTTTTTTTTTGTAAGCGTTGTACAACACTTATCTTCTCATGCTTTGCATAGCAGAGAATTTTATTTTCTGATCTGATTTTACTTTTTTTTACATTTCTTCTGCATTCAATTCAACAATGAGTTCGAGTCGCACTTCAAGTGCCACTCACACTAAATACATAATTCAGTAACTGTTTTTTTTTTTAAGCTCTGCCCAGCAATGTTCCTCTCATGCTTTGTATAGCAGAGAAGAAGTTTTTTCAGATTTGATTTTACTTTTTTTTTGACATTTCTTCTGCACTGGACTCAACGCTGATTGGGAATCCAAAAACCATTAAACAATATCAACAGTGTCGAGTTAGTGTTCAACACTGACTGCAATTAGTTCGCTGCTTTAATTGTGAAGAGCATTTTAGACTTTTCATACTTACAAGGCGGAAAAGTGTTTGTCGTGGCGAAAGACCCCTCTCATTTTCAATCTAGTCAAGGATTGTGGTAAAGACCTGTGTCACTTATTGTCAACCATTAAGAACACAACAAATGTGGTTTGTGTAGTAACTTGTCAGTGGTGTATCGATGCCGATCTATATATGGTAGTGTGCTGATTTACAACTCCAATGTCTTCAATGTGTTCGAGCTTCGAAATGGTCCTTGAATAAACGCGATATATAGATGTACATAATGTACAATGCGCAACGCAACTCACCTGAGCCATCAAAACTCACAATATATATGTATGTATTTTCCATAATTTCACAAAAAAAAAAAATTAAAATA